GGGGGGGGGGGGGCGGGGCGAACAACAAATCCTCACTTTGCTTTGAGCCAGGTGGCTAAAAATGCAGACGGAAAGGTTAGGTCGAGTGCTCGGTTGGCCGGGTCGACCATAGCCACGTTTGCAGCCCACAAAAAACAGCTGAGCAGAATGAATTTATCAGCATCAGGTGTAAGAACTTCGGCTGCCAGATGACGTTTGATCCCAATGGGTCGGGAACTTGTATGGAATCGCATTTGACTTCAACTTTGCGCGTCATGGCACTATCATAACACAGTGCGAGATGAATCGAAACCCTAGGCCGCCGCAGGAATGCCTACACCACAAGGTGCGGGCGGCTGCAACACGTCGTCAGGCATTGTGTGTGTCCACGTGATGCCGAATGTCAGTCTGCCCCGATCTTTCATGAAACCGCCAAATGGTGGCCTCGAGCTCAGCTTACCCTTCGACCATCTCAGATTGATACGCAAGTGTCAGCAAGCGTTGAAGGTCATGCTGCCCAGATAGAAAGGCGTACGAGTTCGATGAGCCAGAGCCCCAGCGTTGCAGGGCGTGCAGTGCACGGAAACAGAATCGGTTGCAGAATAACATGGAAGATGAGAAGAATCCTTGCAGAAAGGTTTATGAGGATACCGGGCTGCACGAAGGCTGGCAAGTCAACTTGAACTTTCAGCCATGGCCATGCCAGCTCCCGAAGCCGACATCGGTCTGTTTGGCAGATCTTCTAGCGGCAATCCTTCCGAACATTACACCGTGTCACATTCCAGAGCCGGTAAGTTTTTTGGCCAGGGCTTCTGCAGCAGCGAGAGCCAGGGGAAGAAGGCGCCATCTGTAATGCTTGTCCACCGGCACCTTGCATCTGACGATTGCAGGAGAGGATCGGACTCCAGACCAACTAGCTAAGACTAGTTAAGTAGTTGTGTTTTCCCGATCAGAGCTGCCGGCCCACGTTGGCCAATCGTGCCTGGCTTTGTACATGCCGCATCATGTGATCTCACAACCATGTTCAAGAAAAGCCATGGAGGCTCATTATTTTGTTGTTCCAATGGGTTCGCACATGATTCTTGCAAGAATTGCGTATGATTTGAATGGACTCAGCTTTATGGACAGCACATGCCCCATATATCATCTTTGCAAGACATTCCAGTCTGTTAGACTGATAGAAGTCGGTGGAAGCATGTTTTTCATTTTGTTAAAAGCGCAAGGCAAATCACAACAGTCGCTGTCGAATGGTTTCCATGAGTTCACCTGCATGGGGATGGCCACCATGTACTCCCTGCAAGTGCAAGGGTTCGGTCGAAAGCGGCGGTGGTCGCGACAGCATCAACCAGCACGACGCCGAGGCAAAGTCATCACGCAATGCCGAGCTGCGCGGAAGTGCGAAAGATGTGGTTTCAAGACAGATGGCCTTTGCGCTTGCAGCTTCAAGGAGATGGACCCATTCGAGCCCGCTTCGGCCGTGCTTGCAGTGACACCCCTGGCACCCAGCAATTGCGGGCAGGGAAGTTTCGCTGAACTAGAGCTGTCGGCTTGGCCACACCTCGGGGACGGCGAAGGGGTCGAGCTGCGCATGTCTTCGACAAGTCATCCAGGACACCACCTATGGCCCCATTCTATGTGTGTCCTTCTGGATGGAAGAGAGCTGGCCCGTGTGAATCCTCCTGACAACCAGCGACGACCTGACTCTCCGTTGAAGCTGCAGCCACCAGACAAGGCCGGGGAGGTGTGGGGACCCATGAGGCATCAGGTTGTTCATTGTTTTGCCGAATCACTCGCTTCTACGTACGACTAGCCAGCTGCGGTCAAAGCTACATGCTTGCTACCAGCAAACTTCGTGTCTTCCGTACTCTCAACGTGTCTTCCAAAAAGTATCCGGAGCGAACCGCTGCCCGCGTGTGCAGTGTGTTGTCCCAGGCAGGGGGCCATGTCTTTCAGCTCTTCGCGGGCGCCAAGCCTGCCGGATCGATCCTTGGAATTGAAAAGAACTGGGTCTGCCTCAGATCCTTTCAGGTTTGTGTGGCTTCACTCCTGCATTCCAGAAGTTTTCGCACCTGTGCGTACGTAGGCTTGCAGGGTGCTGAAGTGGTGAACCTCGAACCTCAAGATTCGCATTTGAGGAAGAAGCTAGAGAGCATTGCTTGATCTTTCGGGTCGGATCCTTCGAGTTGCAGAGGCCAAGTCTCTAGAAGATCCGAGGATGTCGAGCGCCAAAGAGGACTTCGTCTTGTGCCTGGTGGTCACTCAGAAGAGGCCTGTGCCTTCCAAAGCCCTTGAGCAGGATTTCCCGGGCCGCCCCAACCTGTTATTTGACAGCCTTTTGCCGGAAGCAGTGTCTGTGGAGGGTGTCGTGGGTTTAGGTCGAATGGATGTTATCCAAATTCAAGCTGCTTTGGGTTTTGGAGCGAAGCGGGGCTTCAAGGATTGTTTGCTCCTGAGCGTTAAGCTCATGCGTGAGTTCAGCAGTTATGTTTCTGTCTTACACTAAAGGTTTGAAGACCGTGCGGCCAGCGACTTCATCGAACCCTATGTAAACAGACTAAGTTTGATCTTACGCCCGAACAGCAGCCATACTGGGGTTTGCCAGGAGTCGTTTTGTCCATCGGTACCTGTGCAAGAAATAATCAGCAGCCTGGGATGGAACATCTACGTGATTACGAACGGTGCGACGATTGCGGTTATTGCTATTGAAAATGAAACCCGTCGCCGTTGCCATGCTCATGCCTGTTTGCGTTCGGAGGCGGAGTGTGGCTGACCTGCTGGATGATTGTCGGCAAAGGCTCGGACAGTTGGGAGAATTTCTCCGGCTTCATGCGAAGTTTATAACCTCGTCTGTGCTGCAGTGTGTTGACCATGAGCTTCACGGCGTCCGAGCCGAGCCTGAAATTCCAGATTGCTGGGGCCATCGAGTGTGAAATTGAATACCACGAAACCCTGCAGATTGCAGCCCCTTGCCCTTGACTTGAGTCGCACACCTTCCGCCCTGAACCTTGAAATCCTAAACTCGTGGCCCACACCGTATTCTTGATGGTAGGCCCGCCATTCCGGCAGGCAGGGTGTGGCCGGTATGCTTTGATCCATGAAGTGGGCGTCACATCTGCAAAAAACAAGTACGCACGAAGCAGCTTCGGATATGGTGGGGCAGCTGTGTCGGACACCGAGATTATCTCAGGAACGATTGACTAGATTGCAAGTCACAGATGTTTAGAATGCGGGTCATGGCTCTTCAATGGCGGAGCGGAATACGAAGAACTGAATTCATACTAGCAACAGCAGCAAAAATACCAAGAACAGCAACAACCACGGACGGTGGCAACCGACGACAACAACGACCATGAGACGAAGTGCAGCGGCACGATGCGGCATTACCTATGCAGGGACAATTCCAACACGAGTCGTGCGACCAATCGCCAACGTGAGCAGTCGCAATTTGCACGCGTGCAGCTGGGGTCGGGTTCATATCCATAATGTCATAGTGGTATCTACGATGGCAGTAGTCCGGCGCCGCGCCCCGCACTCCAGGGACACACTTCTGCCCGTTGGTGGACCGTTTGTACAGTCGCTCCCGTCAGCATCTACTCCCTTAAGGATCTGCTGCAGGTGTCTCTATGCAGCTACTTCATGATTTGCGGTGCGCCGAGGCTTGCAGTGCGGACATACGTACACATTGTGACATGAGCATAGGCCCGGCCCTCCAAACACCCCCGCTGCAAGAGTCAGTGGCAGCAGCCAGACCGGTCCTAAAAGCATGCCCCAGACGCCTGCAATACAAATATATCTCCGAAAAGATCAGCTGGGGCAAAGATAAATTGGCAGTGCCTTTCCTGTGGGGGGCGTGAGGGTGCGCTGGCAAGTCCACGATCTTAAACCCTAATTCCTGTGTGACGTTCCGTTTCCAAGCTCTCTGTCTCTCTCTCTCTCTATATATATATATAGATACTACCAACTAGTTCATGCAGCTGTCTTGCATGTCTGGCATTGGCGACACAAGCACCCATCATCATGAAGCCTCTGGCACTCTCCAGCCTCAATAGTCTGAAAACACCCTCAACTCGTAAACACTCCACAACTCTCCACAAGCTCCAGTCTTGCATAGGTTGGGGTTCGCTCCAACACGCCTTGGCAGCAACCACTACGCTGCCCGCTGACCCAGGACTGCCAGCTCGGTTGTATCAGGTGTGGAAGTCGAGGGCCATTTGCACACTTGTTGTCTGCCCTGTTTTAATCTGCTTTGGATGACATCAATGATCAGAGCCTTCGAACCAGCGACACGAAACATTACATTCTAGCTCGCTTCTTGTTGCTTCCTTGAGCTTCATGCAAAGATGCGGAATAAGAAGTCTGGTTTTGGAGCAGCGGGAAGGACTGAACCCTCTCCCATGCAATCCATTTCCAGGAACGACTCGTGGAGCCAGCGAGGGGTCTTAAACTGAGAGGGCGGCGTATCGGTTGCTGTATGTTCAGCTCCCAGTAACAGTATCTCTGCGGAGCTCTTGAGCTTGTCCGAAGCCGTTCAGGTATGCACTGCCAGCATTTGCAGTGTTTCGAGCTGGAAGCTTTCCTCATCACAGCGGCAGCGATGCCGTTTCAGCGGAGGCTAGATCTCTTCGATGTGGGTTCAACGACCCGCCCTGACCAGTGACCACAGCAACTTCCCAACCCTTCAGCATCCCTCAAACCTGCCCGATAGCCCTGAGTCCGAGCCTGCCTCTCAGATGGCGTTGTCCAATTTGCGACACGCTGCTTCGGCCGGCGCAGGTTGCGATTTGCGAAATGACGAGGCGCGGAAGAGAGACGACATGGTTCATAGCATAGCCCAGAACTCCGTTCGCAAAAACCGGGGACTCCTGTAAAGGCCAACACACAAGTTTCAACGCCCTCCCCCCACTCGCCGGCACCCCCCTTCACAGGCGCTTCCTCTGGGACCTGCCGGCCGAAGCATCCTTTGCGCCCTTGGAAGCGGCAGCGTCCTCGGGGCACGTGCGGGGCCCGGGCCCGCATAGCTTCTGGCTTCGGAGCTGCGGTTTTTGCTGAGAGACTTTCCGAGCTGCACAACCCTTCCCCCGAACCCGTGCATGCCAAAACCCCTCTTCTCCAAAGGCTTCAATTAGATCCCAGCTTTGTCGACTCCCAGGTTGCGGCGAGCAACACATGCCCGGACCTAAGGCGCAGGCCTTGCTTCGAACAGCTTGCGCATGCCTCTCTAGGCGACTTGACAGCTGAGCCTGCTGTACCCGTTCCAGTTCACGTGGCGAAGTCTGCAAGGCGGGACTCCACAAACCAAACGTTGCAGATGGTCTTCGGCTCCTGGATGGTTAAAGGGGTGCAGTCTGCAGGCAGGACAGGTGCGATCCCTTTTTTACTGCGATTGAGAAGGAATTGGCTCTCGGGCAGCGTGATGCGATCCTTCCGGGAGGATGCAGCGGGGCCATTGGGGCCGGCGATTGCGCTGTGAGGCTGGATGTTGGAACTCAGGGTTCAGAGTTCACGCTTTGGTGCACGAGAGCTGGGGTCATCTTGAGCTCTGGACCTCAGCCTGTCCCGTTCGGGCGGGTTTCAGGGAGTCTTCTGCAAAGCCAGCAAGCGAAGACTCTTACTGTTCAAGCCGCCGATGTTCTAAAGGCTGGCCTGCTCGGTTGTTGTTCACTTCTTCCTGTTGCACTTGACGTGTAACCGGAAATACTGACACTATCACTTCAACAGCTACAAAGACGCCAACCACGAAAACATCACCAGGAGACACAACATCATCAACGACACAGACAATGACCACAACGGCTGCAACACTAATCACACCACCAGCCACTCCTACTGCTACTATTATGTACTGCAACTACTACAGTTCTTGCTACTAATCATACTCGTAGTAGCAGGGATTCCCCCCCTCCCGGTGCGGCGCCAAGACCTATCATTTTTCAGACGTCGTGTTCTCAGAAATGCAGTGCTGTACAGCGTTTTTGTCAACAATCGTTGTTGGAATTTTGGGAAGCGCGCGGTTTTTGCTTATGTTGTGTGGTTTTTGAACCTTGCTCTTCAATCTTGCAGCCAGAACTGCCGGTATTTACAGCGCTTGTCTTTGAGAGTTTCTTATTCTTGGCTGTTGTTTGAGGTCTGGATTTTCGTGTCCAAAAACCAGCTCGCGATCAGAATGAAGATTTTTTGTAGTTCTAATTTTGGTGGTTTTGATGTTCGTCCAAAGCGTGTGAGAACAGAGCATCCCTACCCAAAACCTAATGACGTCCACGGTATAGTGCGTTTGAGAACAGAGCATCCATTCCCAAAGCCTAATGACGTCCATGGTCTTCCCAAAGCCTAATGACGTCCATGGTCTAGTGCGTTTGAGAACAAAACATGCATGCCCAAAGCCTAATGTTGTCCACGGTCTAGTGCGTTTGAGAACAGAGCATCAGAGTCGATCAAGATGCTGACGATGAACATGTTGCACGACGGTGGGGAGAAAAGCTAGTAGTAGTAGTAGTAGTAGTAGTAGTAGTAGTACCAGTAGCAGTAGCAGTAGCAGTAGCAGTAGCAGTAGTAGTAGTAGTAGTAGTAGCAGTAGTAGTAGTCGTAGTGGTAGTGGTAGTGGTAGTGGTAGTGGTAGTGGTAGTGGTAGTGGTAGTGGTAGTGGTGGTAGCTACTACTGCCGAGACTGCTACTGTTACTAGTACTGGTACTAGCC